AGGGGCCGTAGGGGGTGGTGTAGCAGCCTGGAGGAACTCGGCGTGGGCCAGTCCGTAGCTATCAACAGGAGGACCTGAGAGCGAGGGCGACGGCCTGGAAGGAAGGTGTTCATCACTGAGATCCGAGGAACGCAAATGAACTTCGAGAACAGTGGAAAGGAGGGTGACCCTGATGGGTGGTGGGCGATGCGTCGGGCGGCTAACCACGAGGTCAGTAATTCCAAACTACCACCCACTCCGCAAGAGGAGGAGGCTTTCGACCCCCTTAAAAAGCCACCGTCTTGGAAGCCCACCGTGGGTCGTTAGTTCTACCCTGTCCTGCCGGGCCACCCGCCATGGGTGGGCACTGACTCGATGGCAGGGAGTTTGAGTTTGAAGAGGGGTCCCTTGTGGATTCAGTGCCCAGCCTCGTCCATTGTCCATTTCGGTCTTGAAATTTAGCAAGGGACCTTGCCGCAGAAAGAGCACTTGTAGACCTTACCTAAGGTCATTCCCTGCCCGCAGAGGCCCGCAGTGGGGCACCAGCCCTGCCTCTGCCTCCTAAGCTTTCTTGGGTGCGTGGGGTGTTGGGTGAAGAAACACTCGAGGGGGGAGTCCCCGGACTCACCGAGTTACAGGCGTTGGCCCTTTCCACCTTGGAGAGGTTCCTGATGTCGGTGTTGAACACGTTCATCTTCTCCACCAGCGTGGTGAGGGCTGTCTCGGTGGCCTCCCCGACCTTCTCATAGACACCTTTAGACTGAGACGGGCAGAGGGAGAAGAGGAAGTAGGTGGCCCAGGCTCCTCCTGTGCCTTGCTCCCACCTGTCCGACTCATCGTCCATCTACAGCTTGGAGGGGCAAGCCGTTCCCTTCCCAGGAGAGCTGCAGGGTCGGAAGGACCTCTTCCCCTTGACCCAGAGTCCACTGGAAAGGGAAGGCGGTGGGGTGGGGGCGATGAGAGGCTTTGTTGGGAGCGGGGAGGTTACCTCATTGAAGTCCAAGGAGGAGTCGTTGCAGAGGGCACAAATGGTGGCCAGCTCCACCAGCCCATCATACTGCCCTGCCCGCACTGGCTTATCATTCTTCAAGCTGGCAGCAGGGTGGGGAGGGAAGGAGAGGCGAGACAGGCCAAGAGAGAACAGGGATGAGATGCAGAGAGAGCACGGGGTGATGAGGAAGGACAGGTGGGGAAGTGGCAAACCACCTCAGAGAGCAGGTGGGAGAGAAGGCAGGGTGGTGGGGGCGGGGAGGGAGAAAGGAAACCAAATGGGAAAGGGAGAGCCAAGAGAGGGGTGGGCATCGGGGGCAGGAGGAGTGGGGTGACCCTTGGGGACTTACACCTCTCCCTCCGGAGCATAAGTGGAGCCAGTGATGGAGAACTCGTTCAGGGAGCAGGCATCCCCGTCCACCTTGTCGACGATAAACATCTGCAGGGATAGGGCATGGACATGGATGACGATCTGCTCCCCTCCCTGAAGAGGATTGATCGGCTAGTTGCTCAACGCCCGTTTCCTTCCCTCCCCACCCCCCTCTTCCCTGTGGCCCTGCAGTCACATTATCCGTGCTCCGTGCTGGTGATTTGAGAGCAGCACCACAGGCCTGGCTAGGGGCCGCTTTGGGTGTGACTGCAATAAGGACCGCTGGGCCATGCGGCTAAGTGGAAGGCAGGTCCGGGGTTCCCCAGGCTCCAGCGCCAGCGGCTTGTGGGCAGACCTGGTTTCAGAGGATGAGTTCGCCACCCACGTGCTCTCCCTGAGAAATGGCTTCACTTCCCAACATGGGCAAGGAAACCATGAACACAACAGGAGGCAGAGGCCACAGGCCAGTGGGAGCCGGGTCAGCAGGGGGGACACGGGACTCCAATGCCAGCGGGCCAGGACATTTTCCCCATGAGAGGAGAAGGAGACGGTCTAAGATCACAGCTTTCCGAGGACCAGTGAGTCTGGGAGCCTCTGGAGTTGTGCCCATTGCAGTGTTAGAAGGCAGGCGGCCCTGAGGGTGCCCCAAGGGATCCCGAGGCCCAGCTTCTCAGTATGTTTGTTTCCTGGGTGTGCTGCCCTGCGGAAGCCCGGAGGACAGGCGTCCTTTACCTTCGGATCATGGACGGGATGACCGCTCCCCACCCCACCTGCCAGGTGTGTACACGCAGATTCATCTTTGTTTCCTCTCTGACACCTAGCCTTTCTTCTCCATGATGAGCACTGACGATGGATCACATGAGATAGCAAACCCTGGGCCTCGGCGCTCAAAACGTTCACCGGGCCCCTCCTCGCAAGCACCTGCCCACCCAGGGGGCTGCTCTCAATGAGCATTTCTGTGCATCACTGCTACATGACCAGGGGGCTTCAGAAAGGTCCCTGGGAACGTGGAATTGAAAGGCCATGATCTTCTCCCACAAGCTCTTTGAAGCCCCTTGAGAAGAAGTCCAGGGGCCCTGCGGACCCAGTGGCTGTGCTTTGGGCTGCTAACGGCGAGGTCAGCAGTTTGAGAACACCAGCTGCTCTGCAGGACAAAGAGGAGGCTTTCTTTGCCCCAAAAAGATCCATCGCGGAAACCCATGGGTAGTTCTACCCTGTTCTGCGGAGCTGCTGGGGGTCAGATTCGACTAAGTGGGAGCAAGTTTGGGTTGAGTGTTTTGAGACGAGATCCAGAACCCCAGTGTGTCTGAGGCCCAGGAGAGGGTCCAGGCCGAGCTAAGAAGTGCCGGACGCTCAGGAGGGCAGGCTGGTGTGGAAGGAAGGAGCCCGAGAGCCAGACTTGGTTTGAAACAACTGTGCATCTTTGGGCAAGCTATGGACTTTTCTAGAACCTCAGTCTCCTCCTCTGACAGACAGCTAAGCAGACTGAGAGTCTCCCTGGGACTGTGGGCAGCGCTTTCCCTCCCCAGCAGTGTCCAGCACATAGATGGCGGCGCTGTCAAGGGTCTGGCTGGGGAGGAAGGATTTTCCTGGCTGACAGAAAGATGCTTTGTCTACCTGGCAACCATTTTCTCAGGTCCAGAGAAAGTAGTGAGGGGCACCCCATTTGGGGAGCCTGTGTCACCCCTGGGAGTCGGTGAGCTGACCTTGCAGACGGACATCTGGTTGGTGGTGAGGGTGCCTGTCTTGTCGGAGCAGATGACAGAGGTGCAGCCCAGGGTCTCGACGGAGGGCAAGCTCCTCACGATGGCGTTCTTCTTAGCCATCCGCCGGGTGCCCAGGGCCAGGCAGGTGGTGATGACGGCGGGAAGGCCTGCAGGGAACGGGGACAACCCAGGGGTGGAGACATCGGGTCCTCCTCCCTGGAGCCCGTCAATGCTACCTTCTTGGGGGGAAAGGCCCCATGGCTGCCATGGTTGGCCACGGGGAGAAGGACAGGCTGCCCTACCTTCCGGGATGGCGGCCACGGCCAGGGCCACGGCAATCTTAAAATAGTAGATGGCCCCTCGGAACCACGAGCCGCCGTGGACGGGGTCGTTGAAATGGCCGATGTTGATGAGCCAGACGGCCACGCAGATGAGGGAGATGACTTTGGAGAGCTGCTCCCCAAACTCATCCAGCTTCTGCTGTAGGGGGGTCTTCTCCTGCTCGGTGGCCGCCATTTGGTCACGGATCTTGCCGATCTCAGTGCCCACCCCAGTGGTGGCCACGATGCCGATGGCCTTGCCAGCTGCAATGTTGGTACCCTGCGATGGTGAAGAAAGGGCCGGGAATCAAGTCAGAGGTGACCCCCCCCCTCCTCTCCAGGGGTCCCATCTCCTCCCTCCTCCTGCGGCCCGAGGGCACAGCGGCTGACCCTGGACAGCTCACCGAGAACAGCATGTTCTTCTTGTCCTGGTTGACAGCCCGGGGGTCGGGGACAGGGTCTGTGTGCTTGATGACAGAGACGGACTCCCCTGTGGAGAGGGGCCCAGAGGGCTTTCAGATGACAGCATGTTCCTTCCCTTCAGCCCCCACCCTGATAGCCTTCCCGAGTCCGGCAGGGTGCAGTCGGGCTAGGATTCAGCACGGGTGCTGGAGGAGACCTGACCTCACACGGAGGCTGCTGGGGGGCAAGCGGTATATCCACCACCTGGAGCCCCAGCTTAACCACTTACGAAGGCGTGGCTTCCAATGGCCTAGGCTCAGTTACCCCCATTAGGCCGTGGGGGATGTCCACATGTGCGCTGCAGAACAATATCTAGGTACAGATGCAATCAGCCGGGGTACGTGAAAGGGCATCGGATACTGCAAAGGGGGTTCCTGGCCGGAGCAGGAGCAGTCCCTCGTCCCAGGAGCTCGCCCCCCTTCACTGTAATGGCTCCAGTGACTCTCCCACCTCAGCCTATCCTCGCCACTTGGGGTCACAGGGCAAATGGCACTGGCTCTTCGCCGCCTCCTTCCTTCCCAAAGGAGGTAGCAGAAGCAGCGTGGTTGGAAGTACATCAGAACGTCCCTCCAGTGCTAGACATCTTAAGGCAGTGGTTCTCAGCCTTCTTCACGTGGCGACCCTTTCATGCAGTTCCTCGTGTGTGGTGACCCCCCCAGCTACTTCATCACTGTCATTTTGCTACTGTGATGAATCGGGCGACCCTTCTGAAAGGGTTGTTCGACTCCCAAAGGGGTCAAGACCCACAGGTTGAGAACCACTGTCTTAAGGACTCCTCCCTGGGAGGAATGTTCAAGACAGTCGGAGGAGACAGGCTCGTTCTCTGGGTGTGCGTGTCCATCCAGAGGCCCAGGTAGAAGGGGTGAGTCAAAGGCTGTATGGAGAATGGCCCTGAAGGGCCTGCCCTCTCCCCTGACCCTTGCGTGTCAGGCTTGTGACAGCGTGACTAAGGCCAGTGGTGGTACACACGCTGGCAGGGGGTGTCCCCATTGCTGGATGCTCTCCTCCCTGTCCGCCCACCCAACCCTCCCCTCACCCAATCCTCATCTCCACACCCACTGGGGACCCAGCTCACCAGACCTGTGAGGATGGACTGGTCGACCCGGAGGGTGGTGGATTTGATGGAGAGGATCCGGATATCTGCAGGGACTTTGTCCCCCACTGAGGAGAGAGGAGAGGAGGGAGGTCAGCTGGGAAGGAATGCATCTTCCTGTCTAACCCACGCTCATCTTCCAGCCTGGGGAGATCATCCTGGGCTGGGTAGCCCCATTCTTGGGCTCCAGTCAGGTTCCTGGCCAGTGCTTTATTAGCCACCCAGCCCTGGTCTTAACACTCAGGCCCATGTCGAAAGCCTTTCTTCCCCTACCGGGCGGTGGGCTCCACTAGGACATGGTATGCTGCCCTGCATGGGGCGGAGCATGTGCTCAGGGAAGGCCTGCTGAGTGACTGAGGGGGGTGATGGCACTCCAGCGGGATAAGAAAGTCCAACTGAGAAGGGGAGGGACCAAGCCGAACGGAGACGGAGACGGAATGCAGGGAGAAAGATGGGGCTGAGGGCCAAGGAGAACTCGGGGTGAGTGGAAGGGAAGCGTGTGAGGGCACAAGGGAGAGAATGAAGCCAGAGCCAGGACACAGCACAGACGTGTGCACCCGTGCACACACACACAGGCACACATACAGCACAACACAGGCACTTGGCAGGAAGCATTGAGGCAGACATGAAGTTCCAGGGGGGATGCACGGAGGTGGGTCCAGCAGAGAAGGGGGTGCGGAAAGCACAGCCAGGCCTAGAGGGGCCGGAAAAACAGGACACGGTGGGAGCTGAGAATGAGGGCGCAGGGGGTGGGGGGGACTGAGAAAGACACAGGCAGGGGGGTTTGTGCAGGGTCTGCTGAGGGGAGGCAGCTGAAGAGACACATGCCTCCACCAGACGGGAAACTCCTCCCAGGGCCTCCTGCCTAATTCCACCCTGGTCCCAAGGGTGCTGCTGGGACAGGGATCCACTGCTTCTCTGTCCCCAGCCCCTGAGATCCCTCTTCTGGGCCAGAGGAAGCTTGGAAGGAGGAGGGCGGGGGTGGGTGATGGAGTCAGGCGGGGCACCCTGTCACCCAAGCCTAGATGATATTTATAGACACGCATGGCGCTGTCTCCAAACTGTCACCAAACTGGCTCTGTGATGGGCATAGGGGTCTTCAGCAAGCCCCTCCTCCCTCTCCCCAAATGCCCTGTTGGGGTGTCTGAGGAGAAAGGAAGGCCAGTCAGATGCACTCCCCGCCCGCCCTGTCAGGAGGCACGGAGAATGGTGCAGGACAAATATGAAATCCGCTGAAGGAGGTAGAATCCCAGTAATCTTAGCCACCCGGCCCCCACCCCTCCCTGGGCGGGCATTAGGTGTCCCTGTCCTGGAGAGGCGGGGCCCCTCCTCAGGCTCCCCCCCTCACGGTCCCGTGCTCTCTGCTGGGGCCTGAGTTTCCCTTACAAGGTCGGGGGCTTGAGCTGTCCCCCCAACCCCCCCCACCCCCACCCCCTTCCTCCTCCCTCAACCCTCTCTCCTTCCCCCTTGAGAGGCCTCAAGGGTGCGTCGAGGTCAAGATTTAGAGCTGACCAAGCTGGGGTGGGAGGAAGGAGAGGGCAGTCGGGCCTCAGCGGGGGGAGGACAGGGGCCATTGGCAGGCACCGAGCTCCACCTGTTGCTTGCAAGTGCTGGGTGAGAGGAGGGGGAGGTAGGGGTCTGCTGGTGCCTTGGGGACAGGACTGGCTGTTCCTGCTGAGATGCTGGTGGGGGCAGGGAGGGAGTCTGAGGCCAGAATGCCCTGGGGTGACCTCCTGAGGCGTCTGAGAAGGAGGGACAAGGGGAAGGCCACTGTCGAACCTGCTTCCAGATGTCAGCTGGCATCCCCAGCACCCACACCCTTGTCTCAGATGCTCAGGCCTGCCCAGCACTCACCGGCCACCTCCACGATGTCCCCGGGGACAATGTCCCGAGCCTTGATCCTCTGCACGGACTTCCGGTCAGCTCGGTAGACCTTTCCCATCTCGGGCTCATACTCCTTCAGAGCCTCGATGGCATTCTCTGCATTTCGCTCCTGGGGGACAGGGTGGAGGAGAGGAGGGTGGACACGGGGGACCTCTAGGGGGGTTAGGTCATGGGATGGGAGGGGGTTGGTGAGAGAAGCCTGGGGGCGTGGTGGTGGCAGGGTAGAGATGGGGGAGCAGGGGTCAGAGTCCTGGGAAAGTGAGGGACCTGGCTGGCCCAGCAGGTAGGGTGAAGCGGTTATGGTGCCTGGTGCAGAGGGCAGGTGTGTAGGGGACGCTAAAGGAGAGTCAGGCCAAACCAGGTGAACCCACCGCCAACAACGAGGAGGCAGTGTGGACTCTCAGCTACCTGACAGGGAGAGAAGTACTGAGCTGCCCCTGTGGTTTCTGGGGGTGTCAGTCTTCACTGACCACAGGACCCCATCAGGCTCCTAAGGAGCAACGGGTGGGTTTGAACCGCCAAGCAACTCAATGCTTAAGCCGCTGTGCTCCCGAGAGAGAAGGGAATGGAACCTCCCGTACACACCCCGCCCGCCCCAACTGACTTCGTGTCAGGCACTGTGCAGGGTACTGACACGCCCACCCTCTGGGACCATTCATTGGTCTGGTTTTACCGGTGAGAAAACGGATGGGGGAGCGGGTGTCACACAGCTGGTGGGAGGCAGGGAGGATGGATGCAGGAGGCATCCATCATCCATCAGGGTAAGGGGTGAGCAGGACTCAGGGCTAACCTGCCAAACCCCCACAATGGCGTTGGCGATGAGGATCAGGAGGATGACAAAGGGTTCCACAAAGGCGGTGACTGTCTCCTCGCCCTCTTCAAACCAGGCCAGCACCTGGAGCGCAGGGAAACCCGTCAGAAAGACCCGCCCCCACCCCCAGGGGTACAAAGTGGAAGCGGAAGGGGTCCAAAGACGCACAGAGGTGAGATGAGCAAGGAGGGGTGGGGTTGGGGGCGGTCGTCGCAGGCCAGCACAACTCAGGATTAGTCAGTTCGTGCTTTCGGGGGCTCCCCTGACTTGGCCGAAAAGACCCCACCCCGCAAAGTCTTCATTCACATGGCTTGGGGTGAAACTCCGGATATTCAGATCCTGTTCCACCCACCCTACCATCCACACCGCTAGGGCCCAAACCCAGAACCCCGAGGTCCTCACAGGCGCGTGGTGGCGCCCACAGCCCTCCCCAGAGTTCAAGACAGAAGAGCTCCGATTTCACGAGAGGGAGCAGGAGGGGGAGGATAGGGTTACGGGGCCTCCCGTACACACCCCGCCCGCCCCAGCTGTCGCCACTGCCAGGCAACAGCCCCGGGCAAATGTCAGGGAGCAAACTGGAGAGGGAAGCGGAGGCCCTGCCAGCTAGCTCGGCCTGGGGGGGCCTCCACTAAAGAGATGGAGGCCGCCACCGCCGCCGCCACCCAGGTGCTTGGTTTGTTTGTTTGTTTGTTTGTTTTCTTTGCTCCAGAGCCTTGTCCGCTGGCAGGGCTACGACAGGAACCAGGAGATTCCCCCAGCCCCCAAACGCAGGAGGGAGGACCTTGCGCGGCGCGGCGACCATGGAGGGGCCTTGAGGCTGTGCTGTGAGCAGAGGGCGTTCGAAGTGGTAGAGGGAAGGCCAGCTCGTCGGGGAAGGAGGAGACCCTGGAACTGGGATTCTCCTGGGGCCGAGACCCTGGGAAGGGTCGGGGTCGGGGCCGGGGTCGGGGCCGAGGGGGGCCGCGCTTGGGTCACGCTAGCACCAGCGGCTCTTTCCCGCGTCTGCCCCGGCGTCTTTCCCTCGGCCAATCAGCGTCAGGAGGGCGGGGCGGGGCGCCAGGATGCGCCAGGATTGGTGGAGCGGCGCGCGGGCCCCAGAGCATGCCGGGAGTAGTAGTCTCGGAGCCCTGGGGAGCCCCGGTTCCGGGTCCCCGTCTGAACTTTCCGGGAAGCCGGGGCATGAGGCGGGTAACCCCAGCGCTCCAAGCCCCTGGGGCTGCTGGAGCGGCTTAGCTTGAGTATTCTAACAATAGCCTTCCAGCTGAAATGAAAACTTGTCTTCGGAGCGTGGGGCAGAAGGAGGCGCCACGAGAACCAGCGTCCCGCCTTCATGCCCAGCTCGGATCTGCAAAATCGGATGCTGAGGGCTTGGGCTCGAGGCTCGATGGTTCGATGGTTCCTATCTCCCCTCACCCCAGCTGCGAACCGAGTCATCCCCAGATACCCTTCCCACACTTACAAAGGAAATGCAGGCAGCCAGAAGGAGGATCCGTACCAGGAGGTCTTCAAACTGCTCTACCACCAACTCCCACAAGGACTTTCCTGGGGCGGGGAGAGGCCAGGGGAGGGCCGGCCCGGGGGCTCAGGTCAACAGGATGGATGTCTGGGGCTCCAGGGATAAGCTAGGGTCCAGGGCCTGAAAGGGGGCTGCCTTGGTCCTGGGATGGAAGGGTCCAAGGTGAAGGGCAGCCAGGCCCTGAAGAGTAGGGCGGCGGTGGGAGCAGCCAAAGGAGGCCAAAGGACAGGTGCCTCCAAGTGATGGTCCCGTGTTCAAGAACTGGCTACCTCCAGAAAAAAGTGCCCCGGAACTACTGCCCCATCCCACCCCACCCCATCCAGGTGCTACCCTCGAGGGAGGGATATTTACCCAAGGAGCGAGCGTGTAGGGCAAGAGAGTGGGCAGGGGTGGGAGAAGGAGGGTCATTTATGAGAATTCAGAAATTTCAGTCACTTACCTTCCTCAGCCGGGAGCTCTGCCCAAGTAGAAAAGAAAAGGAAATATTCACTTGAGGTTCAGTCTAATCCACCTCACACACACAGACACAGCAGGACTTGGCGGTTAAGAGAACCAGGCTTCTGGAAGGGCAGCTGAGGTTCCCCAAGGTCATCCCATTAAATTTCCTAAATTTCGGGGGCTCAGAAACCCTGTGTTCTGAGTACCCAGTACCCCCTCTTCTTCGACCTAGCTCATCCCCAAGTAACCCAGAGACTCATTCTTGCTTGTTCGTTTGGGGGTGGGGGCTGGGGAGGGGGTGGGTGGTGCAGGAGACCCTTCGCCATCGAAGAAGAAACACTCACCATTGGGGCCGTATTTGTCCAGGTGCCGCTTCACTTGGTCTGGGGTGAGGCCCGTGGTCTCGCTCACCCCAAAATGGGCCAGACATTCCTCGGTGCTCTTGGAGTGTGCAGCCTCCATTGTGCTCCCTTCCTGGGGGCCAGGGGCGCTGTATTCCTTCTAGGGGGGGTCTCACTCGTGGCGGGCCTTCCTCAGTGTGTCCACCTGCCTGTCTGTCTGGGTGTCTTGCTTTTGCTCTCTTGGGCCCCCCCCCAGGCTTTTCTTCCCTCCACGAAGCTCTGACCCCCGTCTGTCCCAC